ATCATACCAGTGTTATTATTACTGACTTTGACCTTACAGGAGTAGCAAACTAAAAAAAATATTTGGATTTTGAGACACATAGTGGTAGTTAAGTGTGCCATATTATTTAAACTATTTGAAAATAACACCAGCTGACAAACACTAAATTTACAGTAAATAAGTTAAAGCTTCAGTATGTAGATTTTATTAAAAAATATATTTTTTTATATATTTGTCAAAACTGTCACCCTGTCATGACATAATAATCTGTGAAAGATCAATCTCCTCCCTGAGCTACTCCTGCTGTCTGAAGAAATGCACTGCTCCGGACCAAAAACAACCAATCAGAGCCAGGAGCAAGNTCTTGGCGCTGTCAATCACATTGTGAATGTGCTGCTAAATGTTCTAATGGCAAAGAAACAACTCTCTGTTATAGAAAACTGTTTATGATGCTATCTACCCCCCAGCATTCACAACAGGGAGAAGATGTATCGTAGCAGAGAGCAGAGAAGGAGTCGAAGGGGATGAGCGGCACGAACACAGAAGTGATTGGCAGCACCAAGATCCTCCGCCTGGCTCTGATTGGTTGTTTCTAGATAGCAGAGAGCAGAGGAGCTCAGTTGTTTCCACAGATTGTATGTCTCATGCCATACTGTCACAACATAGTGGCAGTTTCATCAAATACGTAAAAAATATTTTTATAAAAGCTACATTCTGCGGCTTTAACAAGTTTGACATCTTATATTTGTCCAACAGGAAAGGAAGAGATTAACCTATTATTTGTGCAACAACTATAAAAATAATAGAGAAATCATTTTCCATGTGTAATAGAATTTAGTTTGTATTATTTCATGCCATTTTAAATACAAATTATCATGCTAGCTTGGTGCTCTTAGCGGCCTTTTAACGTGCACATGCCTTGGGCCGGCTCTGCTTAGAGGCAAATGCCACCTTCTTCCTAAACCATAACAGTTTATAAGCATAATTATTTGACCACATCAAGGTACTTAGTTATTACCATAAATGACCGGGTGCTTCTTTCTGGGAAGTTTGACATTAGCGTCTCGGTGCAGGACAAAAGAAGAGGAGGAGACCCGACAAAAAAAAACCCAACCAATAACCTGAACTGATGATGTATAAATCTTGTAGCCTCAGGGAATGCATTTCTGACCAAGCATGACACACATTCCGGTTGAACCTGTCTGCTGCCAATGAGGAGACAAAGTCAAAATCTCAGCCAACGTTCGGTCAGCAGCTGCAAGCAGGTCGCTGAAAGCTTCTGCTAGCAGCAGGTCAACAAAACACATGTCCGAGCAGCTTTTAAAACATTAGCATGCGTGCGGCAGGGCCAGGCAAGCTGATGCAGATACAGACATGACTCCCCGGTAAATCTGGCGAACAATCGACTTTGCTCTGCTGCTCAGATCTGTATCCAGAACCAGAGTCTGGATGACAGGTTGGCCGGTTTACAGGCAGAAATTACAACAGCAACTTTAAAAACAGTCATCATTTTAGATATTTATTGTTCCTTTGGTGATTCCTGAAGGAAATTGGTTACATTCGGTTTTATTAAGGAGCATCAGCATGAAGAATGAGCCGAGTACAAAGCGCTAGGGTTAAGTTTATGATTAGATCGTAAAGAAAAGTTTTATTTCTCTCCCTTTTAACATTTCTGTGCCACTTTGTGTTGACTTATATAAAATCTCAATAAAATACACAAAACATCTAAGAGCGTGACAAGTTTTGCAAGGCAATGTGTTGCTAATTCTCTCCGTGTCAAATATTGTCACCTTCCTACACATAATGTCCTAAGTAATACTTTGTCAATTTTTTTTTTCCTAAATCATCTTTTAAAAATATATATTTTTTGTTTTTTGTCATAGTTCTTTGGCATAAACTGACTAAGTTAGGAAGGCGATGTGGACGATATTTATCACATTTCTTTCATGTGATACAACATGAAAAAAATATATTTTTATCACGATATTTAGTGGTATTGTGGTAACAATAAAAGTGACAATAAGTAACCATTTGTGACAACATTTTTTAGCTAACTGTATGGCATTAGCTGTATTAAGTGTGTGCAAATCGTTGATATAACGCTGATGTCGAAAAACACAATTATGGAATTGCTGTGGTTCCATTAAACGACAAATTAAATTAAAGTCACACGTAAACAAGTGAGTTTATTCTGTGTCAGTAAACAACACAGAATAAATGCATTTAATCATATATATTTAGCAAACAGGGGAGAAATTATTCCAATTTAAAAACAATAATACAACAATACATCTAAATTTATTGTGGTAAACAATAAACGACAACTATCATGTATTGTGCTTTTGTTTTAAAAGCAAACAAGTCCAGGAAGAACCCTTGTTTAAGTCTTTTAGTTGTTGTTGTTTTTTTTATTTAACCTTTATTTCCCATTTAGATTTAAAATCTCTTTTTCAAGAGAATCCTGGCCAAAGTCTGGCTGCCACAATGTCTGCACATGGTGTCTGCGAACTTGATTTGTTGCATCTTGGCGACCTGCAACAAGTGCCACAACTTCCCACATCACAAAAAAAAGACAACAGTCTGAAACAGAAACCTGGCTCCTCTTCTGTCACATTTTCCAACCGAACACGTGGGAATCAGCCCTAGATGTACATATATATGCATGTGTGTGTGTCCAGACTGTTCTGAAGATTGCATAATTCACCTCAGCAAACCTCAAACTAGTTTCAACACTTTCAGAATAACTGAGGTTCTGCTTCCTGTTCTATTTTTTCTGCAAGCACTCGTGCTTTTTTTCATCGCCTTCCCCTACCCCCTTCAGCAAACTTCTGTTTTGCTCAGACACAGACATAATGCATGTCCATTTGCTATAGAAAACGCACACCATAAAAGACATTGAAAGTGTTTCTTGGGAGCATGAATATGCATTGTGAAGTGGTGATTTCAGAACAGGAAGCATGGGGCCGGGATGTTTTGTCGGTTCGTGTCATATGACCACCAGAGACAGAGAGACGAGGCCAGACAAAGACCATCTCACAAGTCTGAACGCCTGACCGGGGTGCTGCTGAGAGACTAAACTGGAGCATGGATGCCAAAGACAGGAAGGCACAAACATGAGCTGAGGTGTTTATCACCGGGGTTTCACTCTGTTGGTTTGCTGGCTGCAACAAGGTGTGAGAGAGCAGCTTTCAGAGTCAAAGGTAGCTTGATAAGTCGTGCGGATGATCGCAATCAACACGAAAACATGCTGTCCCTAATAAGCAATAAATCAGTTAATATTATGATGACTGTTTTTCTATTTTCTCTCTTTCTAACAAAAATTGGGATGACAAAAGGCTTCAGTCTGGTTCATTGGTCTCAACTAGCCTCGTTACTGACGGTCAGTGTTGCTTGGAGACTTCAGTATACACTGTGTTTATTGTTTTGTTTATTTATTGTCAACATTTAAACTGTCTTCCGCTCCCAGTGCTGCATATTCATTAGAATTTAAAGTTTACTAATGTTTGAGATTGCATTATTATCTGATTTTAGCCACAATATTACTTAAAATAGTCTCAAAACAACAATATTACCATTTATCACTATAAACTTTGGGGCGATTTTTCGTCCAGTAAAATTAGTTTTTGTGACATGCCCAGTTATCCCTCTTCCCAACGGGTGCAATAAGCTCTTGCAAAATAAAACATCACAATACTTATGCGTTCCCTACATGAATAAATTCATTTAGTGGGCGCATATTCCTCTAAACGAATAGTAGTCCCCTAAAGGAATTTATTCTTTTAGGGGACTACCATCTAGCCAATTTGGGTCAACAATCCTTCAACAGATAAAGTCGTAACAAAATAAGCCTCGACTACTCTTAAGTCATCGCTATAACAACCGATTGCTGGACGTCTACGGTACGATGAGCTACATCACAATCACAGTGAACTCCATCAGCTGTTAAATGTTATACAGCAGAACATGTGTTATTGAAGTACTGACCTAATGTCTGACGAGACAACGGCAGATATTTGTTTGTTGAGTTTGTTTCAACATCACTAAAAACGCATAACAACGGACTTTTTGGTAGCATGAGTTTGATCTCTTAAGTTTTCTGCTAGTGGGCCATCATTTGATTCCGTGTAAGAACTAGAACCTGCAGAATACCGGGCCTTGAAGACCGTCTTTGAACGCCACTGTCCTAAGTTTTGGTGCAATAACTGGTATGAAGGCATACCAAGGTTTAAAGGACCTGGCTGCAGCCATTGAGCCAGCCATTAATTCGTCTGCAGAAGTGAGGAGAGCAGATGTTTGACTGCTAAACCTTGACCCAAACCGGGTCATAAAACAGAACCAGCATGACCCAGTTAATGATTTAATGGAATACCAGCATCTAAAAGTTTTTCTTTCGCTCAGCTTAAAGTTGTTTTAATGAGATGCCAGAGAATGTGCTGAAGTTGAGCATTTGGAGCAACACTACCCCTTTCCCATCTGTTGCTGGACACTGCTGGTCAGCTGGCTGGAAGGAAAACTACTCCACTTTTCCTTCGCTTAAGATATTTTTGAGTAGTTACAAAATATTTCTGGCTACAAAAACACAAATAATTAAAGGCGGTTTAGTAAATTTTTCGTGGTGATACTGTAAAAAATGACAAAATTAAGCATAATTTACTCATCTTGAGTGAAACTCATGCCTTCTCCCTGCTCAGGAAATTGCATTAAACTGCAATACGTTGCATAAGGGTTTTTCCTTTTCCTCCTGAGTGTTCACAGTGTTTTTACTCAGCATCACAACACAATAACAAGGTTAAATCGGTGACCAGCCAACTTATTAACAAAAACATGTCATTCGTTTAAAACTGCGAAGGTCATCTTCATATTTTCTGTGTAAATACGTAGGGGTTCTGGGCTATTTCTCGGTGTGTAATGAGCGTTTTGCTCAGAAATAAAACCATTTCATGCGTCAGTAGAGATCTGCACTGCACACACATTAGTGGTTTGCTCAGTGTTAGTAAATAAGTAAACAGTAAAACTCTCACCTTCCCAAACTTTTGGTGCTGCACGTAGAGCTGTCCCTCTTTAACATGCGCGTCCATGATCCCACACTGTTAAGACCAACTTTCCTCCAGGGAAATCAACAACAATGACGACTCAACTTGAACTTGATCAAAGAAAATCGCTTTTTTTATATATATATAGATATATTGTGGGCTTAATTATCTCCAACTGCGACTTCCCTCTTATTTCTCACTTCCGTCCCTCAGGCGTCGTAAAAAGCGGTCTTGTAGAGACGCGACAGTTTGAGGCGATGCCATGGTGAGGGCAGAAAGAGAGCGGTCCAAAAAGACACCGCGCGGTTCCGTGAAAAGTTCAGTACTGTCCGTGTGAAGTCAGCTGCTCGTCTGTCTGTCTCTTCTCACTCCGCCAGTGAGGATGGAGCGGCAGAGCGCCTACAGCTAGCTTAAACACAACCAACCCCTTCCTTTTGGCTCTTTCAAAATAAAAGCAAATTGTGGTGGCGCGATATGTTAGCCATTTTTTTTTATCTGCGCTTTGGTTTTGGTGCTGTTCTAGTGTTTTTGTATTTAACCTTGTTTCTTTAAAAAAATAAAAATAAAGCAGTTAAAACCATTGCTCCTATTTACATTGTTTTCTTTGTTTTATTTTGCTGGTCCTGTGCTACTGTGTTTAGCTGTCTGTTTGTTAACTAGTTACATTTACTTGAGTAACTTTTTTGAAAAAAAAAAAAAAAAGCTTTTAGGAGTATTTTTTACTACGCTTTACTTTTAGCTGAGTAATTTTACAATGAAGTATTGCTACTCTTACTTCAGTAATTCACTGTACAGCTGATCTTCTGATTTAATTTTGGATTAATAAATGGATGACAAAATGTGTTTAATAGTTTAATAGCTAAAACAGACCCTTATGGGTTAAACATACTTCTAAATAAAGTTATTATCTTTAATGAAAAATGTATATATTTTTGCTATAGTTTTTGCTTAATTACTGCTCTCAGTATGTTGGTCTTTCAGTAAATGGCCTCTTATTGAGTACTCCGTTTAACAATTAATCGATTATTTCATTAATTGATCCATCACAATTAATTCCATTAATCATTTCTATTAATAAATGTGGTGCCAAATAACCTGCATTGCAATGTAACAGCGCAGCAGAGCGATAGACTCTTATTTTGAAGTCTTTGCTTACATCCGGTATCCTCTTGTAGCGTGGAATTGACGTTCCTCTCTGCCTGTAGCAGCAGAAACAGCACGCTCCTCTGCTTCCCTCCACCCACCTCCTCACTATTGTGTAACTTCTTCCTTAATTTCACCTCTGACACGCTCACTTTCCTACCTCATCGTTCACCCAAACTCTAATTAACTGTTTCATTTGCTCTCTATTTGTGTCGAAACGAACCCCGAAAGCTCTTACTTACATCCGATGATAATGATGGAAAGTTACCAGCAGGGTATAAATGTTGCAGAGGTTTTTTTTTTTCCCCCTTTTTTGCATAATAATCCGTTCCCCCTTTTCTGTAGACCTGCTGTTGGTGCCAAAATAAATACGTTTTCACTTCAGAAAAATTGCAGGAATTTTAAATTAAGCAGTGTGTGTTGGCAAGTGGAGCTGCCCAGCTATATTAATATGTTGCAGATGCCTCCTGTTCCTGTTGGCTCACAGTGTAGCTGTGCTGTGTCTCCAGTGGTGATAAATCTTATTGACATTATTCTGACACTGGATAAGGATTCTTGAACAATGAGTCCCAGTCTCAATTTGAGGCCATAATGTCTTATTCTGTTTTTTTTTTTTTTTTTTTTTTGCAGTTTAGTTTAGCAATAACTTAACCAACAAAAGATAAACTCAATCGCTTTGCTGTGAAATTATCAAATAACAAGGTCAGTGTACACAGCAGTAAAATGAAGGAGCTGTATCTGGAAGAGAGGTTGGAAGATAGTGCAGCGCTACACTTTGGCCAATAATCATAAAGGGTCAGGCAGTGGAGAAGATTATTGGTTTTAGACATAGAAAAAATATTTCCAATTCCATGCAGATTCTGGTTATTAAAAGTCAAGAAGCTGATTTTTTCATTTGAGAAAGTTGAAAAGTTTAAGTGATTAACAGATAATATATTGAGTTTTCTCTCCTTTAATACATTTTGTTTCCGTTAAGCATCTTAACAGACTTAACTCGTTGATCAATCAGGTCAAGATTATTCTGGAATAAAGCAGCTCTCTTTCGCTAGAAATGATATCTAAGCATAAGAAGGTCATTGTGACCAATAATGACTCTTCCCTCATTGTTGTACTTGTTTGTTTTTGGCTGTGTACTTTGTGCATTTTAGGATTTATTTGTGTGACCTTTTGTATTTTGAAGAGAAATTTCATGTACATTTATAGTAAATTGTGGATTTTGTGCATTTTTTTCTACATTTTAATTGATATCTTTATATCAAGCTTATGTATCTTAAAGAGAGACCGTGTGTCTAAACATATAACTACTACTATTGTTGTTTTTATTGGTGTTTTACAGATAAATACAGCAATATGCAAATAGTTAGATCAATAACAGTGAGGATAAAATTGTAGCAACTGTAGTAGTAGAAACAACTAGAATAATAGTAGAAAATGTATAAATGAACTCAAAATTATGATTATTTTTTATTCATTTATTTGCACATAAAACTTTCAGCAGACACAAGATAGCACAACGCTGCCATCTAGTGGTTAAGATGTGATATTGCAAGTGTAACTGGATCTCGCGAGATCTCAGCCGACTACAGGGACCCAAACAGGAACATGGCATCGGTGTACGGTGGAATAGAAGGGTAAGAAAGAGTGGAAATATCCACTAAAACCGTTTAAATTGAAGTGTTATGGCGTGTGTCTTTGAGTTTGTTTGAATTTTGCATGTTTATTTATGTCTTGAATACAAATAAATTAATTGTATAAATTAAGGCTAAACTTAGATGTTATTCGAACACGGAAGCGTAAATCTCGTGATCATCTCGTCCCCCTTTGCTACGTTGCCTTCAAATGAATGATTGCTCATGAAAATGCATAGAAACGTGTTACATGTTGCATTCTTTCATCCTTCCTGTCTCACTGAGGTATTTATGTTAGTTGTTAATAATGTCTTAACTTATCCCTGTATTTCTGTTTCTTTTGTTGTTGTTTTCATCCAGTGGAGGGACTCACTCCAGGGCTGTGCTGCTGTCAGGAGATGGGAAGGTGCTGGGAGAGGCAGTGGGACCCTGCACCAACCACTGGGTGAGCTGCACAGGTGCAGATAAAAGTCAGGGTGGGACAGTTTCAACCCAAAAGAGATAGAAAGTGCACCATCTTTCAGTTCTAGTTGAAATAATTTAATCTCTCGCTTTTTATTATTATTATTTTTGAAGACCCGGATATAGTTGGAGTTAATGCGGATTTCATTTCTTTTTATGATTACTGTCTATTCCCTGTGCTGTCAACTTGTGCCTTTGTGTCTAACATAGCTGATCGGGGTGGATAAATGTCTTGAAGCCATCAATGAAATGGTCCATAAAGCGAAGATCAACGCAGGACTGGATCCAAACACGCCGCTACGCTGTCTGGTCAGTCAAATGGCTCCTTAAAAACAGATTCCTGCTTGCTGTCGTAATGTCAGGTTGAAACTATAATTCTTTATGTTTTTGTGAAGGGTATGTCTCTGAGTGGGGGTGAGCAGAAAGATGCCATCGACAACCTGATTGCTGTGATGAAGGAGCGGTTTCCACATCTCAGCGAGCATTACTTCATCACCACAGATGCCATTGGTGCCGTGGCAACGGCAAGTGATCGAGGTAAGCTTTTAGTTTTAATTTGGTGTTTTAATTGGTTGATAAAATCAAAATCTTATACATTTTGGATGCATAATAAGAAGCTGGGCTGGAGGTTGCCGCACATTAAACAACGTATGTCATATCGTTTATCATTTATCGTTATATATTCACTATTATGATAACAATTTTGATTTGTCGTTGTGGTGATAAATTCCAGTTATTGGTGTCTAAAACCACCCAAAACTGTTTATTGTTGAAATTATTTTGTTTTTTTGTATTCATAAATGTAAATAAATGTAAAAATATGATTCAGTGCAGTTTGTGTGTGCAAAAGTCCAAAAGAAGCGTATTGAAAATGGAAATATTTTTCAAAAGCAGTACTTGTGTTTGTGGAGGTATGATTGATGTGACATGCAGTCTGTCACACCTAAAAAAGATGTAATAAATAGTCACTTTTATCACCCAACTTACTATCCTCATTTCTATAAACACAATAGTGCGAGTAATGTAGTTAGCTTTTGCATTTTAACGTGCATGTAATTAAAGTTAGCTGATAATGGTACTATTTTATTTGTTTATTTTTAAGAATTACAATTACATTAGTTGGATTTCACAGGTTACATTTTTAGTTTCATCATTGCTTTTGTTAATCATTTCCTTCTTGCACCAAAGCTCCTCACAGTTTCCCGTTAACGACTGATACTTTACCCTTTCAGGTGTGTCTACCTAGGACTGTCATCACCGTTCCTTTATGGCCCTCTGTTATCTAACACCGTCTTCCGTGTGCCTTCTCACCAGGAGGCGTAGTTCTCATCTCCGGGACCGGCTCCAACTGCAAGCTGGTCAACCCTGACGGCTCCCAGGTCGGCTGCGGAGGCTGGGGTCACATGATGGGGGATGAAGGATCAGGTAGACATCAATGTCTATCTCTTCGTCGTTGCGGCACAGACTCATGTTGCTTTTGTGTTTCAGGGTTCTGGATCGCTCATTTGGCTGTGAAGACGGTGTTTGATGCCAAAGACAACCTGGCGGCGCCGCCGCATGACGTCGCACATGTTAGGAAAGCCATGGAGGAGTACTTCCAGGTCAGACACATCCAGAAGTTGATTTGCTTTGAAGAGGGGTGTCCAAAATGTGGCCTGCAAGAATAGCTGGCTGATGTTGATGAACCGTCTTTCGTCCTTTGTAGGTTAATATCTTTCTAAAATAATTATTGGGTGCAAAAAATAGATCCCCATTTATTAGTTTAGGCAGAGGAAAGCTAACCCGTAAAGGTTAGCTAAGAACGGTTGGTGGCATTAACTAACTCTTTGGTTACCTAGCAACAACTTTTTGAGTAACCTGTGGTTACCTAGCAACAAACTGATGAGTAACTTGCACAGCAGCAGTTTAAGGTTTCTCCACCATGCTTCATAACTTTTTATAAATAAAAACCAACAGCGTAGAGTGAAATCTGTGGCTAACACAGGAAAGGTTACAACACTAGTTTCTTATTATTTCAGATATTTAAACCAAAAAACAAACTAATAACTATAGATGACAACTGATATGTAATGCTTCTATTATGATACATTTTTCAGCCATATTGTCCAGCCTTAGTCTGTAATTATGTGGTGTATCTGCAATAATTTACTGATT